TCCTAGCTATCGGCAGCTTTTCCCAGTTACAAAAGAGTTTTAATGTAATGTCTTTACAATGACTATCCCTCCTTATGTAAACTGTGGATGATGAAACAACCAGAATAAGTTTGGGAAACAAAACCCCTTATGTGCTCTGTTGGTGGCAGTTGATACGCTCTGAAGAAAATGGTTTCTCCTGGTTGTACTTTGGACAGTGGGGGGTTGATACGTTGTTTCTTAAAACTTGAACTATAACTTGTACTTTCTTTGGAAACACATCTTGAAGGTTTTACTGAGTTATCTAAATTAATTAATTTGAAATTCAGGCTTTCCTAAATTGTTTAACTGCCATAAAGCTGACTAGAAACCCAGAAAAACACACAACTGTTGCAATGGTCAAACTAATGTTGGCAGTATGATCCAGTGTGCACACACACACTCAGGTATGGCAGGCATGGATAATGTTGCAGGCGTGCGGGGAATGCCCGGCCTGTGAGGGCTGCAGCTGACAGCTGTCACCTCCTCTGTCAAGATCAGCCCATCTCTTCCCAGGCTTTCATCTCCCTGTCTCTCACTCTCACACACTCACTCAAATGTATCTCCTCAACTTTCTCTCTCACACTCTTTCTCACTACATGTGTATTTGTTTGCACGCTCACACATTAATACCACTGGCACACAGTGGTATTGGTCTATTATGTTACTTCACATTATAGGCACACCCTGTTGTCTTAGTAAACAGTCCGTCCTGCTGATATCGGGTTATTCTTTAAAGCATTACTTATCGACACGTCAGAGTCCAAAGTAACACTCTGCAGGGTCACTAGCTATCTGAGCCACTTAAATTTCACCCGATAGGCCTTTTGCTTCACTCTCATACACTTGAATTGAACCATATTTACAACTGAAGCTTTATTTCTTCAAAACCAAACAGTAACGATGATTTTAAAGCAGACTACAAGATGGCAAAAAGGAAGGAATCCTCTCACTCGGCTATAATAGCAATATACATAGCCCTTTATCATTTATATGTGGGTGGGTGTTTTCTTTTCTTAATGTTGGGTCGTCCGTCTTCTCCACTTGTTTGTCTTGTCCCTGCCACATTCCTGATTATAGTTGTAAATTGAAAGCGAGTTTATTAAAAATCAGTAGACCATGACAACTCCTCTGATCACTGGGCACAGGAAAGGAATGTCTCAATTTGGGAGGTAACTAAAATTGCTTTTTAAAATACAGATCAGAATGAATAGAAGGTCATACAAGTTAAGTTTCAGAAGAAAGTAAACGTCACATTTTAATGTCAGGAATATCAGCTCAGGTTTTTTCTGAATGTATTTTCCCAATGTTTTAGAAAACAGCATATGCTTTCATATTTTGTGCATTTATTTAAACATAGCTTACGTCAACATGAATTATAGTTTAACAAAGGGTAGTTAGTTCCTATGGACGCTGAGGCGATCAGTGCATAATGTATTTAAAATTCCTGTCATACACATTTGATGAGCTACAGTTAAATGGGATTAATACAGCACTTATTTGGAAACTTCTGACACCTCTGAATATATTATGCCTTTTACATCTATGAGCTATATCAACTCCAAAATGTAGGAAAGGAGAAGGGGTGTATGCCAGACCATGCAGTGGTTAAAGAAATATTAAAACATGTTTTAACAGATCTTACACTAATGAAGACGATGCTGGTTGAAACATGTCGGCTCTTTCATTTTCCTGCCAGATGAGTCCCATTCTAGACTCTCCTTTTATCTTTATTGGATATCGCTCAATTTCTGCTTTGCCAGATATACACAGAAATATAAAAATGGTTCCATCAAACAACACCGTGGCTTCAGAAAGAGCTGCGGCAGAGGCTGCTGTTTGATGGTGGGATGTGGATTTCAAAGCAGTATCTTGACCATACCTTCTGAATGTGGTATTTACCCTTAGTCTGCCTTTTTGAGTAGGAGTGTGTGTGTTACTATACTTGCATAATTCAAAGAGATAAAGTGTGTGACAGGTAGAGATGAGGATGAAAAAGGGATGTGACATGCCCATGGACTGCTGTTAACTGTGCTGCTGTGTGTTTCAGATGAAAATGTTCAGGAGATGGCTGAAGAGTTGGTGCAGCTGGGCTTAATCAGTGAGGTGGGTCTTTTGTGCGAGAGAGATTTGCAATCAATGTGTGAGTCTCTGTGTGTTTGCTGTTGAAGAGCTGCAGGCAAGCGTGTGTGGGTGAGCGTGCTATTTCTGTACCAAACTGTGAGAATTCTGTAGATTTTATAAGGCGATGTGACTCCTACGTACGGTGCCCTCTAACACAAACACTTTCTCCTCTTAATGTACTGCTACATACGTACTCCTGTGCACACTCACCTACCCACGTATATGTTATCACTTCATCACTCTGTCTGAGAGAGAATATGTAGGTATTTCGTCTTAATGACTCTCTTAACGGTTTTCTCCGATATTTTTATTTTATGCCTCATTTGTTCGACCAACTCGCATATTTGTAACTGTCTGTGTCTTTGCTGTTATGATTACCATAACTCTATTTTCTAACATATTGGTGTACGTGTTGTTTGTAATATCCTGGAGTGTTGAACATGTTTGTGTTCTCTTTACAGGTGGACCAAAACAAAATAGCCTCCCTACTAGAAGAATCCTTCAGCCAAGCTCTTCAATAGCAACGATTTCCTCCACGAAATACCTGTCCCCTCATTAGTACACTCTCTTAACCCTGTTACATCTTCTGTTTGGTTACTCAACATGGTGATTACATTAAGTGGGGTTTTTGTATTTTTGTTCTTCTAAGCCTTAGGTGAAAATGTGACCAAAAGGGTGGGTTCTCTTCCTCTGCATCAGGGAATCAAACCTCCCCAAAGCACAGAAAACCTTTAACATGCTGTCAAGCTAATTTCAGAGTCCAGTTTACTCCAAAGAAGCTCCCTGGACTGATATCACATTTTAGCTGTAAAAGTTAAGAACCATTTAAATCTATATGAGAGGATTTATTCTGAATGTGTTAGCTTTTACATTGGCTGTTAAATGTTAACCTCATGAATGCTGCAAAAGACACTTCATCACACCAGTGCTGACTAGATTACTTACAGCTTTAAAGTCAAAACCACTTTCTCCAAGCCGCAGATGTATTTTATTGTGAGGTGTTTACATAACGAATTGCCTGTTTGTGTTAGGATGAGACGGGCTAAAACGCCATCAAGTCTAATTTAAATATTCACGAGTCACTCCACCTTTCACTACTGTTGTACTTATAAACTTTAATGATCTCTAACCTATAGCACCCCTAACAAGCCAAGCCGTTCTCCCCCCTCATTTCATGTGAATCCCCCTCTCATTTTGTTTTGCCTTATGATTTATGAACATTCCCGGCTCTTTGATTTTTGTGTTGTGGTTTTTTACCAACATGTCACCTATCAGGTTAAATATATATAAGAGTTTGAAAACTGGATGTGCAGAGATGCAACTTTTTCAGATAACTTAATAATTGACCTATACCCATGATAAATATTTGAGAAGCCTTTGATACATAACATATTGTATGTGCACAGCTGGATATTACATTTTGGGTGGGCATCATGATGCCAGATGTCTCTGGATGATGGTTACTTTGAGGTACTGTGAACTCAGTGTTACTGAATTTTCCGTTTGTGTGTTTGTTTTTATATTTTGCTCTACTGTTTGCCTTATGCTGGGCCTACGCACATGCCTTAAAGTCCTCTTTTCTCTGTTTGTTTTTATTATTTTATTCATCATTTTACCATTTGCTGCTTGTTGGGTTCACACATGCTCCTCTGCCTGTAAAATTCATTCATGTGAGACTTGTGTACTGAACTCGGCTGCCATATGCTGTAAAAAAGAGGACCTAGCCTTTTCCTGATACATCTATGTGAGAGCGTCAAGATTTATTTATGTTACAGACACTGTATAGCATGTCTTTTTCTTATTTCTTTTTTGTTTACTGTGATTAACACAGAGACCACATTGATGAGAGTCTGAGCCAATATACACTTCTATTGCTTGATTTCATTTGATCACCATTTGGTTAAACTGGGACTTAGAGGGTTGATTTTCCTTCACAGAGTGCAGAGGCACCTACACTTGAATACAAAAGGTTACATCTTACATGTCATGTTGAGACTTGTATTGGGATCAGGGAGTTGCCTGTGGCCTTTTGTGACATTTTGGCTCAGAACTCTTTGTGGTCTACAGGTACTTTAGTGTCTCAAAGCCCATACAATGCAGGACCTTAAACGGCAGTAAGAATGCACATAAACCATTACTTTCTCAGTATGTATTAAAAAAACAGAAACGATACCATTAGATGCAAAAACGTACAATTGAGAATACATTTTACCAGTTGAATTGAATGCTTCTGTATTAGCTTTCAATCGGAGCTTAGTTCTGTTGCTGAGATATATTGTTTAAGTAGTCACTTCACCAATTAGATCGTATTAATCCATTGATCTCCACTCAAATCTTTCTGTTTTAAAAAAATGTATTTGGGCAAAAATTGTTCTCTAATCTGCATTTTTACTAAACAAACGTGCATTGTTTACTTAAGTTGTTCCTCTATTTGAATGTGTATCTGTGAACCTCTAAGATTGTATATTCCAAAGATATGTTTTAAAGTCAGCCAGTAGAATGTAAATGCATCTCTTCTTTTACAGAGAAGTGATAAAAACCAACCAATGTGATCACCAGACCAGCTTTATAAATCTCTTCCTCCACCTCTCTCTCTCTCTCTTGCTGTCTTTCCCACCCAAATGAATGGTGGTGTTGAAACTGGTTATTAAATAATCGTACAGGGTGGGCAGCTTTAGCCTGTCACTCAAGGATGTGAGCATATTTGTATATCCTTCTATTTTGTATATGACATAAGCGTCAGTAAATGTGTTTGTGTCTTTTCTGAAATGTGTATCCTGACAATATCTGTTCTTACAAATAAATGTGTGAAATGCTCAACGTTGATGTTTTTAGATCCAAAAGACAGATTTACTGATTTCATTATCATGTTGCTGTTATCAGTGTTATGATTTTTCATCTAATAAGATTGCTTGCGACGATTTATAATGGTGGGATGTAATTATGTACTTTACTAGTATTCCTTACTCAATTGCACATTTGAGCTATTTAAGTATTTTACTTTTTGCTAAATTATAATTCTACTCCACTACATCTCAAAGGCAAATATTGTAGTTTTTAATCCATTTCTCTGACAGCTTCAGTTTCTGTATTAGCTTTCAGTCAGAGCGTACTTCTGTTGCTGAGATATATATTTTTAAGTAGTCACTTCATCAATTGGATCATATCAATCCATTGATCTGCGCTCAATGCTTCTGTTTTTGTATTTGGGCTAAAAATGTTCTCCAATCTGCTTTTTTTCAATTTATTTACAAATTACGGTTTTGCATCCACTTTCTTCTGAAAAAGCATATAACACCATATGTGTTGAAATTTGAATTATACAAATATTTGTTGTTGGTGAAAAATCTCCTTTTAAGCTAATTTAGCTTACTTATTAAAGTGTGCCTTTACAACTTTAGTTGCTCCTCCATTGTTTGTGAAAGGCCAGAATAAAGATGCTTGAGGTAAATGATATGCCTGTTGCGCCCCTCAGCGTCCAGCCCGCAGCAGGTAATTCACAGGTGAGTCCTGACGTCATACAGGAAGTGCAAAGAGGCACCGTTGAGTTTCTGCTTCTGTGTTGTCGAGCAATTGTTTTTGCATGAATATAACGGTCATTACATTTTTCAAAGGGAAAGGCCTGACACAACGGAGAGATGTGCACTTTTGGTGAGTGTTTCTATCGTGATTCCTACTTAGAAATCTCGCTTTTAACGTCATTAAGCCTGTTTGTCCGTCGCTGTATTTTCCCTCCACGGTGCACTGACCGCAGGCCTGCAAGGAGGAGGATGGTTTCGATGTTCTAACTGCACATGTAACGTGTTGGTGCGCGTATAATAATAATTGCTTTGGTTTATACTTCGAGGAAATGAGCTGTCATCAGTCAAAAAGAAAGAGGATAATAATTAAAACGTTTTTAAAATATCACGTAGGCCCATGCCCTGACTGCTTCTTCACATCTCTGTGACTCACAAGGAGTAGCTCACAGTCAGTGTGAGCCTTTCTATGCAAATGCATGTCCATCTCTGAGCAGGTGTACTTGTTTCAGGCAAAACGAACAACAGTTTAAGAATAAGGTCTTGAGTTGATGCAAGTGTTAAGTCTGTGATGTTTAATGTTTGAGAGCATAAAGCCGTTTCACAGGCAAATCATGTTGCTAGTAGTTCAGTTTTATGACGTCCTTTTGATGATGTTGATATAAATGCACTGCGTGTAAATGTGCAGTTCATTTATGTAGGCACATAAATATATGTATGATTAAAAATAGAAAATGTGCATTGTCCTTTTTCATATCAAAGCAACATGTATATTTTTGTTCAGGGTTTTATTAAAGATGAATTGTGTTTGAAATATATTATCATTAGACTTTCTAAGATATCAAATATTTTTAAAATCATTATCAGTCCTTCAATACCATAGTTTGTATATGTCTATACAGAGAATGAACTCAAACTCCTCCTCAGAGGTTTTTTTCAAACTGCATGCTAATATGAATCTATATCTCATAATAATTAGAGGTATTGTATTGCTTATATTTCTGTCATCCAGATATGGAGAAAGGGCCAAGGAGGCTGATGAAGAAGGGATTAACTCTCATTCTGGTCGGCCATATTAACTTCATTCTTGGAGCTATTGTCCATGGCAATGTCCTCCGCCACATTTCCAAACCAGACAACCACATCAGCACCGAGTACACTGTCGCCAACATCATCTCCGTCACCTCTGGCCTGCTGGTAAGTCCTCATTTAAGCCGCTCATCCTTTGTTTCAACGTCAAATCTGCAGCGTGCGCCAAGAGGCTTAAGGTTTGTAGAACCTTTAAAAGCAAAGCAATCCTGATCAGATGTTTTTTTACCATGAATTTGGTGAGTTATGAAAAGCTGTTGAATTCATCCCAGTGTCTTCAGAATAACACATGCACCTGCAGTAAACCTCAAAGTGATTTGCACTGTTAGCTCTTTACAGTTTTGGGTACTTTTCTCGGCAATCAAGACTGAACTTGCCTGTTTTTAAAGGAGCTGGTGTTTCAAACCAGTTACTCATTGCCCCAAGGCAGATTTCATCAAAATGAGGTATACGGTAAACTGTTAGATCTTTATGATTAGATAGATAATGTCCAATTTCTTTTAAATGTACTCAATACTATCATGTACTCATTGGGGTATTACATGTTTTACAGGTTGTACACACATGACAATAAAAACAAGTAACAAAATAATTTACCAGCACTGGTTTCCCTCTGTAATCTCTAATTTACAGTCATTTGTAAGACTCATTTATTTCCATTTGTTTGAAGTCTTCTTAGCCTTGCTCCTAAATGAAGAATGCAGCCTCACATCTTCAGTGCCAGGATTATAATTTGTGGCACATAATTTAATAAACCCTACTCTAAGGCTGAAACAATCATTTTGTTATTTGAATCTTCCAGAGCATTGCCGCTGGGATTATTGCCATTGTGGTGTCAAGGAATCTTCATGTGTTAAAACTGGTAAGAATTTAATTAGTTTTCAACTGCTGATATTATCATTCATCCTGTGTTTGCTCAATAGTCACCGCCCGGTCTGTTTTCCTATGATTTTCTCTCCAGCAAATAGGGCTTCTAATTACATCATTCCTGAACGCCCTGCTGTCGGCAGCATGCTGCACAGGGCTCCTATTGGCTATCAGCATCACTGTGGCCAGCAATGGTGCAGGTTTGATGAAGGGATGCAACGACACAGAGGTGCCCATCAACGCTCGGTCCCCTGTCAGTGCCCGGTGTCCGTTCGATACAACCAGAATCTATGTGAGTCTAAACTGACATTTCCACATCACTCTCCAGCTCTTTTTCTCTTTGTCTAACTGCTGCAACTTTTGAGGGGTAAAATTGAGACGAAGCATCACAGAAGAAATGTCAACATCAGAATCAGAAAGGCTTTTATTATCCCTGGGGATAGTTGTATTTCATAAAAGTTTCTCCATTTTCGAATAACATTTATAAAAAATATACTTATAAATCGAGATGTTTAACTGAAAATGTGCTCACAAAATATAAACGCAATAAATATATAAAATATATAATTTACATTTATATTCAGTAGTGTGTGTATATATATGTATATATATATATATATATATATATATTTTATATATAGTGTATATTATAATTTAGATTGATACTAGTAATGTAAAGTGTAAATAAAGCCAAACTAATGCGAGTGTTGCACAGTTGAATAAATAATGCAGAGTTATTTCATACATTGTCCTCCACGTTCCGGTCTCTTCCGGTCTCTCAGGACACCACCCTGGCGATGTGGATCCCGTGTGCTTTCTTGGCGGCATTTGAAGCTGGCCTGTCTGTGTGGTGCTTCATCATTGGATTGGCCCTCAGAGGGCTGGTCCCTTGTGGGAAAAGCTACATCAAAGAGCAGGTGTGTGTGTCTTTGTGTGCGGGGTGTAACTCAGGTGTGTGTATGTCTGAATCTCTGTCTGACTCAGATGTGCACTCGGTCCATCTCAAACACGCACACAATTGATTCACATAAGTAAAAAGAACATGCAAGCCCACTGGCTCACGTTAACACAGACTTTACACAACCTTTATCCTTACTTTCTTTTCTTCCAGTCTGAGCAAGGAGCTCCCCACAGCCAACGCCTGATTGGAAAGCGCTTGAACCCTGATGCCTGACTTAACAAAAAGCAGGAAGGACCCCACTCCGTGTAAACAAGCACAGCCAAATCCCAAAAAGCCTTGCTGCACCTGTATTGAGATCAGAAAATGTTGCCCTACAGTCAGCTAGGTGAGTGTCACTGTCGAACAGAATAGGAATCAGATTTAAGAAACTGTTCTTTGCCCTGCAGTATCATAAAACCCCATACCCCGACTCACGGATGGGTAACCAACTGTATTTGTTTTCAGTTATAAACCAAACTTATATTATATGTTAAGCTGTGAGCGGAATGCAGTTCCTGATGGAACCCATAAATGGTACATCAACAACACATTCAAAAAAAAACTTGCACAATGTACATTTCATCAGCAGCCGGGTGCAGATCCTTTTGTGCAGATAATGGGATTAGGTTTGGTGTGTTGAAGCCTACATATATAAATGAAGTCTTATCCGTATCTAGCCATGACTGTTGAGTTGTAATGGTCCAAATATGCAATGTCTTTCTATATGAAGAAACCTCGGTTTATGAAGAAAATACATTTTTATATCTAGCAAAAATATTTTAGATGAATTTAGGAATATTTTAGCTTTTTATTCATTCTAATTTTCATTCTATTGCTTTTTTCAATGCTAATGTTTTTTTTATTTTACAATTTCTACACAATACACTCCATTGCATTAGAGATGCAGTCCACAAATCCTATTGCTCAATATTTTCTTATAAACACGTTTAATTTCAACAAATAATGATGTTAAA